GTTTGAATGCAATGAAAAATATGTGGAATTTCTATGTTAATGTGGTACCGTATCCTGACATAATTCCTCAAAACCTTCGTTAATGTTATTGTTTTTGGCCCATTTTGTAAGAATTTCTTCATCAGAAACAATGATTCCAACAAGAAATGACTAAATATCGGAAAGATTACATTAATTTATTCTTATTTTTATCAAAAAAATCAAAGCCAAAAATTTCAAGTGAATAAATATTCCAAATAAATGCAAGTACATTTTCATCAATTTTTACTGAACAAACACATTTCCTGACGGGCAAATCAAGAGCACTTTTTTATTTCAAATCTCAACCCATAAGAAAGTTAGTGAATTGAGACGAATTTTGATCTCAACAGTAAGCAAAAGATAACGTAATTTTTTATTGCAAATCCAAATCTCAAAAATTAAGAACCAAATCAAAATTTCAAGCAAAGTTCACAGCCATGCAGAACAACTCGCCCCAGTACCTTAAGACTAGAACCGTGAACAAAAGCTTGAGCGACGAAAGGACATTTGATGTAAACATTTTCAATTTTATCAGGAGAAATATATTCGCCCTAAAAGACACAATCACAAATAAGATAAATAAAAACAACAAAATATATAATGGTTGCTATCATTTATGTTTTATAAACCTGCGACAACTTGAAAATACATTTTTTTCGACCAATTATTTTAAGCGTTCCATTCTATAAAACAAAAACAGAAACATTATGAGCACCTCACCACATACTTAATCATTAAGTAAAAGATAATGTACACTATATTTGCATGAAAGTACGATAATACAAAAAAATTGTTCATGATGACAAAATATTTTTCCTATCGTTTCCTTCTTAGAGAAATAAAATTAATATTAATATATTATAATAAATTATAATAAATTTCTTTCAAAGGAACTTGCTTCGTATTTGGTGTAAAATTCTTGAAGTCAAATGTCTGTTTTTAGTTATCATCTTCCTGAATTCGCTTACAGATAATGTCTTAGCAAAAATTAACAACCAGTTAACGTCATTTTTCCCACATTAATTTCGATAACAACAAAAAAACATTATTTTACATCCTTTGCTACTATGTAACTTCAACTGACCTGTTTCCATTCTCCTACATCACCTGTATGCAACCAGCCATCATCATCTAACATTTCAGATGTTTTGTCAGGATTTTAAGATATCCCTTGAAGACATTTGGACCATAGACACATATCTTAAAACAAAAATCATTCTTTCAATGCACAATCGTAACATAACATTAGCAAAGTAGAAAATAAAAACAAGATTCGTTACTTCGCCTTGATTGTTTGAAGTAAAATAGTTCATTTCTGGTACATCAACAAGTTTCACATAGTTACAGGCACTAGGTGATCCAACGTGACCTATAGGTACATACATGGATAAAATATAGTCACCTGTTGGTATAGACATGTATAAGATAGGGTCACTTATAAGTATACAGATGGATAAAATATGTTGAAAAATTCCTAGTGAGTTATTCACTCTATATTGTGTAAAATACTTAGGAAAACATTGTACCATTATTAATTAGAAATGATTACAAAACCTGGACATGACTACAATAATAGCGCTATCAACTGCAGGGCCTGGTACCTACGTAGATAATATGAATGGGGTTTATAGGTAATTGTGACAATCTAACAATAGAGATGAACATTAAGTGTTCGCTTTTAGCTCATTTTCTAGGATATTATAGTTCATTGTACATAAATAAAAGATGACAAAACACTTCAAATCAACTATTCAGACCCAGGCCCCAGGCAACCTTACTTAGGTCTTAATGTCTTAATATTGACTTTCTCAACGTTTACAATATTACATTTTAAATGAAGTACCACAGAAGTGTTCATACGGAAATACGTAGTACCTGGTGAAAGATCAAGTTTATTTGTCAGAGAAACAAGTGCTGTAGACTCAGTCTGACCATAACCTTCAAAAATCTTAATACAAAGAGAAATAAGATGTAACCATGGTAACACAGTTGAAACGTGATGTCATAAATAAATACGAACCAAACATCCAAGAACGACTCTTAAAAACTCTAAAACTTTACCATCAATAGGAGCAGCACCTGTGAGAATGACATTTACATTTCCACCTAAAATTGCCTGTAAAGAAGAAAGTTGTCAGTTAGTTTCAATACCAGTCCCCCGAAAGAATGACGGCGAGTGCCGGTGCAGCGAAATGTAATTTACAATTCATTGGCCAGGTGAGAGTAAAACAATTAGCGGGAAATATAAGGAAAATCACTAATCTTAATATCATTGAAACATGATAATAGCTTTTTTAATGAAACGAATGAAGTGTTTTACGAGTATAAAAATGTTGACGTAACGGGGCCTCATCGGTGACGTAACGGGCTCTTACCTGTGACGAAGTAAGCCCCCACCAGTGAAGTAAATGGCCCTCACGGGTGACGTAACAGATAGTCACCGGTGACGTAACAGCCTGTCCGTTTCGTACCTGAATTTTATGAAAAACTATTTTGTCCCACAAAGTATTTTTGGAGATTTGACCTCTACAGTGAAAATAAATATATTTAGATTTTCATAATGGTCTTAAAGCTATTTCATTCACTGTTGAATACTTTTTCAAGTCCGCTCTCTTCGACTCAAAAGCCTTGTAAAACAGCCATTTTTTTAAGCCACTGCTGCTTTCAATATTTGATATAACCTGCAGAATTAAAATCACAGACAAATGAGCACAACAAATCTTTCACACAAACAAACAACGATTGTCTACATTGAATAACCTTATCGTAAAGACGGTTTAACAAACGAGGAACTGAAGCGAAGAATGTCGGCCTAAAAAATTAATCACACATCATATTGTATGATTTACAGTGATCCACAACAAGTGAATGAATTTCAAGAGAATTACCTCAATAACTGGATGTCATCCAAAAGAAGTTTCACATCACCACGAAAGAACCCAGCTCGACCTCCAGCACAGCAAATAATCATCTACAAATGACGACGGCGTAATACAAAAATCTGTAGCTTAAAAGTACAACTTAAACCAGGAAGTAAAATATTTTTTAGTTACCATAACAAGTCTCTCGTACATTTGAGGAAGCGGAAGATGGGATATGTGAACAAAGCTTGAATCCACTGGGTAGCCGTTCTAAAGACGAAAGTATGGAGAAATTGAAACAAAAGAACACAGCAAAGATACTATCTTCATTTTACTAAACCTTCTCAAAATGTATAAAAGTTGCAACGAGGCAGGATATCATGTTCTTGTTGCTCAACATCACTCCCTTTGGTTGTCCTAAAAATAAACGTCATAACCAAAGTTCAATATACGTACCACTGGTGAAACTACACAAGAGAATTACCTGGGGGTACGACTCCTAAAATCAGGGGCGGATCATAGATTCGCGGCAACCCTCTCCACGCCTTCCCCCCGACTACCATATTTAGAAAAATACTCAAAAAAATAATTATTTACAAAAATGCTAATATTTACATACAATGTTTCAGCAAAAGCGCTTTAAACGAAATATATTTTCTACGATTTTCTTGCAATGACGAATCGTTATGACCATGTTGTTCCATTAAATGAAAGCTTTACTTCCTTCGAAAAAATTACTTTGCTTTTTGCAGGTGCTCTCATAACCGTGTAGCTCCTGGTGATAGCAAATTACTCCCTATTTTCATCCGTCCCAAGGTAAAACTACACATAAATCTTACCTGTGGTACCACTTGTGAAACAAATTGTGTAAACATCGTCAGGTTTAGTAGGCTGAAATAATTACGCCCTACTTTCATTCGCCCCAAGGTAAAACTACACATAAATCTTACCCGTGGTACCACTTGTGAAACAAATTGTGTAAACATCGTCAGGTTTAGCAGGCTGAAATAATTCACCACAAAATCCCATTATTTTGAACAAATACATAATTTTTAAAATAAAAAAGAATTTTTATAATATACTTGAGTTTAGGACATTGATGAGCTGACTCCAATAATATTGGCAGCTTGTTCTCATCACACACAAATAAAGAGCACATGTTATTTTAAAATATATTCTCAATCATTATGAGTTAAGCCTGGGCCACACTATCGTCTATATTGACGAAAACGAAAACTAAACGAAAATTGTGCACTAAAAATGCATGCCAGACATCATTTTGCATCATAAGATACTTGTAAAGCCAAACTTTGGGGCACAAGCGTTGGCAAGCTTTTGACGGATTAGAAAAAATGGCGATCTCTAAAAGAAAAGGATTACTTCTTCTTAAGGAAAAGTTACTGCTTTTTCAAATACCAATAAAAGTGTCGCAACCATTTCCAATTCGTCTCGTCAGTGGCAGCAACACCACTAGCTCTTCTAAGATCATATCTGTACTTTTGTACCGCATGAATGGAATCAAATGGACAGACCAATTTTTAATGATAGTGTCAACTGTAAAATGTTTTAAAAATAATGGAATGCATGATTTGATCTAAAATGTGTGTCGGCGGACTATCAATAATACTTCACTATCCCACGCCAAAGTCCGTACTTTATTAATCTATCTAAAACTACCCTAGCAAAGTGATTTCTTTCTGTTCCTCGAGTCCTTATAATCCTGGTGACTTTTATCATACAAAATTGGTTTTTCTCGCATCAGATTTATCAAACCCTCTTTGCCACTCCGCCTTTGTTTCGAGCAATAAAGTCTGATATTTCAGCCAATAGGTATGCGTTTTCTTGACGAAAAAGGTCAAAACTTCAACTCTTCTAATATGCACAAAAACGAAATTTTCGTCGAGTTTTCGTTCAAGATTTTTGTTGTGGCAATTTTCGTTCTAATTTTCGTCGATATGGACGATAGTGTGGCCTAGGCTTAAATCTAACATGCATTTGTCGATTTAGCAAACGTCATTAGAAAAATAGAAACTTTGTACAATAGACAGGAACATTCTTCTCGGTTAAACACGGATAACGGATAGATCAAAATCTCGACAAAATAAGCCACCTATTCAAATATCTCATTGAAGTTATTGGGGATTCTGTGAAATATAAAGTTTAATAAAGGTAATGTTATATAAGTTAAGATATATTTTGATGAATTTAAATTTCTTTTGTTCTCCTTAAAACAATTATGAATATAATCACACAACGGTTAATTGTCGTCTGTGATGTCCAAGATGTAATATAAAACACAAATTCTCCTTGACTTATGTTCATCAAATACAATAAGTTCTTCTTTTGTTCAGGAATGGTTGTAAATTGTAGCCTTCATGTTGTATTTCTACACTAAATTATGTTAAAATACCCTTGGGGCTGAAACATACTAGACAGTCGCTTTAGTCAGGCGTCCAAAGCGAATTGATGCGCACGCGTCAGTCGCTTCAACGCCACCACAGCATTTAACGTGGCGTTCATTGAACATGGCGAAAATTTCAGTTTGTTGCAGACACAGACATGACTCCAAACTTTTATTTTGAGCCTTTATTATAGCTACTAGTAGATGTAACATTTACTCAGTACAAACTACTACAGAGAAAAGTATAATGCGGAAGTTAAAACACGCAAATATGACCATAGCCCATTACGCGTGTATCGTGGACAATCTTATTCTGTGCGTTTAGGTTGTGCATTAGGGTTCCAGTTTGTAGCTCCTATTGTCCTTATTTGATAAGTCATATAAAAACTGAAAGATTCCAATGTGAATTCACTATACATTGCCCTCGTTTTCCAAGGTATTATCTATAAATTCCGTATGATGCTTATAACAGGGAATATGATATGCATTTAAGAAGTTAAAATTTATCTATTGGCCAATCAGTGTAAAGCGACTAAAGCGACCAATGTCAAAAGTTCAACATGTTGAACTTTCAAAGTGACTAGCTGACGCGATTACGCTACTAGCTTAATAACCACGCAAAGCTGTAGTTTTAGACGCGCATCGAAAGCCATTGCCTAGTGTCTTTCAGCCTTAAGTCTATATTGTTAATGAAATGGCTTCCTTGAATATTCACAGGTAAATTTAAACTTCACGACGGAAATGGTTATTTGTTATGGCACTTAAAGTTTATGGAGAAATAATCATTAATGAAGTTTGATGAAATGAAAAAATGTAAGTTGTCTTAATTTCAATTAATGTGTCGCAAATTTTTAAATTTCTCATAACTTATCGTTTTATCTAAGGGTGAATTAATAAAAATCAACTGTAATAACACATTTGCACCATCATTTGCTTATATAATATTCAGTGGCGTAGCTAGTGAAAAACATTTGGTCGGGCTCACGAGGCGCCACCATGGTTGGCGCCGAGCGAGAAAATTTTCCGAATTTAGACTCCCTGGAACGTCGGAAACGGCTATCTTAGAAAGCAAATGCGTGATATTTATGCAGGAAATAGAACCATTTTGGTTAATTTAAATTGCCGAAGGAATTTATAGTAAAGCAGAGAAACAGTTCAAAAATAGTTGCAGATATGTGATTTATTTTCTCAACACCACATACATAAATAGATACCTATGTACATCTTGTAAAGAAACTTTGACAAAAGAACCGAAAAAGGCTCAGATTCGTCATCAACAACTATTAAAAGTTGACAAAAACCCATTTATCTTTAACAGTTTTACAACTTCTGGAATACTAGATTGAAAATGGAACTGAAAAATATATTTCAATAGTTCATCGCATGAATCACGGTGAAAGTCTTTATCTCTGTAAATAAAACAAAGTCGGCTAACTAGCATTGGTATGTCAAACATATCACCATAAACCTCCTTTAGAAGATTTATCTTTTCTGAGGGCACTTCACCTTTCCACATCTTAAACACCCTAGGGTTAACAAGGTCTAAAAATCTAAAACGCTCCATATCCTGAAATCACTCAGTCAGCATAGTCACAATTGTGTCAAGAATTTCAAAATACATTTGTTTGTAATTATGCCATTGGTCATACCTGGTTACTGGTGGTCCCACTTTCTCAACAGCCAGGTTGTACACCTGACAATATACTGTATCATTTCTCAGAGAAGCAACAAAGGCCTCGAATCTCTCAACCCTACTCACTCCATAATGAAAGTCAGTGTCCTTGTCTTGCAAGATAAAATAAACTTTGGATGACTGCTCAAGAATTCTCTGGAAAACAAGTACCAAGAAACAAAACAAGAAGCCATTAAGGTAGCCAAGTAAACCAGTAACCTTACTTAACGTTTCATCATCCCAACCTATTGGATTATCAGTAAGATTTTCAAATATGTCTATCAGTTTCTCATAGTTAGAATGTAAGACATTGATGACATAAGCCCTATAATACCATCTTGTGTCACCAGGACTAGGAAACTCAAGCCTATGGGATGATAGTAAAGCTTTTCTTTCGGGGGGAATTGCTAGTAAAGGTGCAGAAAGCACTAATATTAACAATGAAATGGAGGATGCAGCTTGACATAATACTAGATTTAGTCTATGGGCAGCATAGTGAACAAATTGAGCATAAGGATAATCCTGCTGAACTTGAGCTTGAACACCATTGAGATGACCAGACATAACAGATGCACTATCATAAGTCTGTCCAATAAATTTCTCTTTCACATTATTATATTGACTTAACTTACCCTTAACCACTGATGATATAGCAGTTGCAGTCCTATCACAACTAACATCAACAAACCCAAGCTGTCTTTCAATGACACTTTTCCCTTTGTCCATTCGAACAATTACACTCAATTGTTCTTTGGTAGAAACATCAGTTGCCTCATCGACCTGTATACTTAAGAAAGTGCAGCAATCTATTTCCTTTAAAATCTCATCCTCTATTATCTTATCAAGACAATCAATCAAATCATTCTGAATATCAGGAGAGACTCCAGTAAACCGCCCTCCCTCAGCACGGTGGGTTTCAGCAAGCCTGCCATGTTATTGCCTTTCAAAAACAGAATCCATCTTGGCAAAACTTTCAAGTAGCTCTCTATAATTTCCTCTATTCATGCTGCTACTAGATTCATCATGCCCCCTAAATGCAAGCTCTTGCCTAGACAAGTATAAAACAGCTTCTGTTATGGTTTTCAACATTTCCCTGTTTTGCCTTACCTCTTCGTTATGACGCTGAATCTCCTCACGTCTAGCTTGTGACATGAGACAGTCGACACGAGGCTGAAAACCGTAGGTCTTCCAGGTCTTGTAAGCACCCAAGTGCGATTTTGCCTTCTCATGCTTCTTACAATTGGATAGGAAATTCTTCATGTTTTTGAATCCCGTCTGCGTCCATGAAGATGACGATCCAGGGCAAAACAAAAGACAAGGCCAACAGAACAATGAATTCTTTTCTGAGCTACCTACCACAAAGCCAATCTATCTTCGAGTACCAACTTTCCTGAAAGCTTCTATTGCCTGTAGTCGCTTGTAAATTTGGAATTGGCCGCTGCTTTACGAGTATATTTTGCTCGCCTGATTGTCGAACAGAAAATGGTTTCTTTTGTAGTTCACTTATTATATCGATTTCATCAGCCGAAGCCATTGTAATGTAAGTTATCACGATTTCCGAACGTATATTTCGAAAGCTCAAAATTCAAGTCACGCTTTTGAAAATGAGCCCGACTATGCGCATTTGAGTTTGCTCGGTTGCTGTCAACCAATCAGATTGCAGATAATCCCACTATAGATTTTACAACTTGGTCGGGCCGGATTTTTCAGAGCCCGACTAAACTGCGTAATGCCTGGCACTAGAAATGCACTAGTCATTGTTGCTAAGTAACGTTTAAAAATATGATAATTTTGCTAATAACGACGCAATTTGACAAATATTACCCTAATAGACTGTGGATTATTCCAAAAAGAGTTGTAGAATTTAAAATTTTCGCAAATCCAATTTTAAAGAAAACAAATTTTTCATTTTTGGGAAAATATTTGGTCGGGCTGGGCCCGACCAGCCCGACCGCTAGATACGCCACTGATAATATTATATTGTGATGAACTTGGATGAAATTAAATGGTCTTCTCCAACAATACATTTCTGAGTTTTACGCTTTCTAAATAAAACATTTTTAAAATTTTTGTAATAACTCAAGAAATATAGCTCCTTGTCTAGCTCCTTTTAATACGCCTCTACATGAAGTACACACATACATTGTCCTTATCACGTGCTAGCTAATAATCTTTTATAGTTAAGTGTCTGTCAATCATATGTATCACTAAAGGTCAATTTATGTGAATGTATTCCAATTTTCCTTAATAATTAATGATTTTCGTTATAGGGCAACGTTGTTAAATGACGATGAAAAACGATGGTGTGTTTATGGAGTTGTACTTAATCATGTTTTGATCCCAGCTGTTCGACCTTACCTGGAAAATAATATTTTAAATGAGTATGATGGACTAAAGCAATCTCATAATATTCATGTTCAAACGATTCACAACTTTCCTTTATCAAAATATTCCCCCCGCGATCTACATTATAAAAATATCAACAATAATGAAACAAAGGATAGGAAAAACTTTGATTATAAAATTACATCACATGTCGACTTTGGAAAACTTTTCCTTCAAAACCACATGGCAAATTTCAACAATTACGATTGTTGTGACGCATCAGCAGTGCTTAATTTACTAGAAAGGTTCCCAGTTACCCAAAACCTGGTCCAGAAAGGGGCGGAAATCCTTAGAAAAGATGGAGTTTCTTGGGCTAACTGCAATTTTCAGGATTTTGGTGAAACAGATTTTCGTCAGAAAATAGAAAATATGAAGCAACTTGTGAAGAAATTGAGTTTAGAAACTGAAGAAAAAGTCATGGATGATTTAAATTATTGGAAAGATCAAGGTATATTTATAATTATTATATCATTGTGTTGATTTTCTTGAATAATCTACAGTGTCGAGAATTGTGCCTCCAAATTTGTAGTCCTCGATAAGTCACAATCGATCAAAGTAAACCAAATAAAATCACGCAACAATAAAGTTTACAAAGATATATTAACTAGCAAAACTCTTTAAATAACAAGTACGTTCGTTACTGTATGGTACAATGGACTCCATCTCGGTCACATACGTCTCACAACTAACTCGCTTCTCTCACTCTCTCTCCCACTATCACTCCCTACTCTTGACGTCATTACTGATGTCGTATCTTTGCCGCTACCGCTGCATCCCTTGTCGGTCGTAGTATAAACGTTGCAGCCTTTGGACTGGAGCACGACTGAGATTGAATCTCCACTCAATCTTCTCTTCCGCCAGAAATGCATTAGATTTCTCGTCCCTTCTCACCTTTCTCAACCAACTGTCTGCAGCCTTGAAAGTCCTGGCCTTATTTGAATAGATAACATTAGGTCGAACCCGTCTTGCAATAAGTTTTCTCAGACTCCGAAGGAATTCGGTGAGTTCCATCAATCTTAACAGTTCGAGATATACTGCTCATGTTAAGCTGCATCCGTAAAGTACTAGGTACGCTTTCTTCTCCGCCTTTGCCTTTGTCCGATAACGGATTGGACTTGCAAAGTCTACCTCAACGACTTGAAACGGAGTTGTGCCTTGAGTTTTCGTCATTGGAAGGTTTCCTGGTGGTGGTTTTACATACGACTTTGCTCTGAACCTTACACACCCATAGCAATTGTGTAGTAGTTGCTTTACTAGTCTGCACACCTTGGGGACCCAAAATCATTCTCGCACCTTAGCCATAGTTATAATCACACCGCCAAGAAGTGTGCTGAGATGTGCTCTCTCAACTAACTTATCAGAGAACGTAGCGTTTCGTGATAGAAACACAGGCTAATCTCACTAAATCCGAACACAACATTCAAGGACTCCATTTCCATGAAGTTGAACGTCGAGCTCCAAACAATTTCCTTCGAATTCAGGATTTTGTTTTGCATCGTTTTGTGTTTTCTTGATACACCAAACTGCACTCTTCTTGACTTCACTTGTTATTAAAGGACCCTTCTTTGGACAGTCCATGGAACTGCTGCAGTTTTCTTTGAACCAGAGTATTCAAGCACATATTCTCAAAATCTTTCGGAGGTTAAACTTTTTTAACAGTTTTATGAAACAGTCGTCGTTCTTGGTTGAAATTGATGTAGCCAATACGTGTACACTTTTCTTAGGCTTCATCTCCTGCTCGACTTCAAATGTACATCAATTACTTGTTGCGGCGGCCACTTTAAAGGATCATTCAGCCACTCCGGACCGGTTTTCCAGAGTTCGTTTCCATTGATATTTCCAGCACGACTTCTCATGTCTGCCAGATTCTGTTTGGTGGGTACATAATGCTATTTTACACGAGCATGACTCTGTATTTTCACAACACTGTTTGAAACAAATTGGCGATACTCCCCACAACCCTTGATCCAGTAAAGTGCTACTGTGGAATCCAACCAGCAACGGATAGAGGTTACAACTCCCTCACTGTGGCAAACTTTACATTCGATAGCAAGTTAACGGTCATGTGTCCAGAAACCAATTCCAAGCGAGGTATAGACAGATCCCGTTTTGCCAACCTGAATATTGCACATACCAATCCCTGGGTTACTCCATTCTCCTGCTTAACAACTGCATATAGTGCTGCTGACACCCCGACTTTGCTTGCATCGCCAAAGGCACGAAGGGTGACGGCAGACACAGTTAGTTTATGCGGAGCTAAAGGTTGGGAAAGTTCGCAACTAGGTGGAAGTCCCGAATACCAATCATCCCAGCGTTTTTGTATGATATCGATAATTCACCATCCCATGAGCAACGAGCTTCGCATATTTCTCGAAAAATTATCTTGCCCATCAATGTCATTGGTGATACCCAACCAGGAGGGTCGGTCGTATATTTTTGCAAGTTGTGATAATGCACGTCTTCCTGAGCAGACGATTTCTTCGATTGCCGTTTGCACGCTATGAGTGTTTATATCTTTATCCCATTGAGGTCCCAATAGTTTAGCGAATGACTTCTCGTGTTGCTGGTCCGGTTTCGTAGACGTCATCTCTTTGCCTTCAGCCTTTGGCGCAGTTTCTAGCACGGCCTCATTCGAATGCCATTTGTGCAACTTGAAAGTGGCGTCTTGGAAGATCTCAATAGCTTGACTCCTCTTCTCAGCAACTTCTGAATTAGTCACTCCATCCATCATTACATCGTCAACGTAGAGATTTTTACGTATTTCGTCCATAAGGTTTGGGTTTGTTCCTTCCCAGGACATTAGATGTTCCATCAAATCACCATTGAGTAAAAAAGGAGAACATGTCAGACCAAACAGCGCCCTTGTGAACCGATACGTCTCCACGTCGTTGCTTCCAGGTGACTTCGAGTGAAATCTGTCTGATTTTGACTTGGAGAGACGTCTTTTCCAGGTCACCAGTGAGCAGAACTGGACAGAATCATGATCAAACGAGTATTGATCAGAGAAGGTTCTGCAGGAAGGGGCCCAGATTCAGGCAGTCATCGAGAGATGGTGAAATTCGTGATTCGCAAGCCGAAGCATTGTACACAATACGCAGCTTAGTTGTTTCGGCTGTGTCCTTCTCCACTGCTTTGTGCGGTATGTAGAACTCCTTTCCAATCACCTTTTGTGTTGCCTTTTCAATCACCCCGTTCTCAAGCTGTTGTGGAATGATGTCGTCATAGTCTTGGTACTGATTGCTTGCTTTAAGCCTTTTCACCAAGTTTTCCAAACGTCGACGATACAAAAGTTTTGCCGTAAAAGATGAAAGATTTGTAGTTGGTAAAATAGTTTTACTGCAAGAAGAAACTTTTGCCGTGACACTTGTGGGCTACCGTAACTATATCATACAACTCTACTTCTGCATTGTGTGATGTGAGAAGCATATCGATATGTTGATTTTTAATGTCACATGATTTAATGTTTGATGATTGATTAATTGAGCCGAGGCATAAGAGCTCTCGGCGCCAATGTCTATCAACGCGCGACATGTGATCTCATTTACCTTCACCACAACAACAGGAATTATGCTCTGGGCGCTGTCATAATCCGTCATTAACTTCTTATCGCCGGATGCCATGTTATCAGCTTTGCATTCCGCTTGCTCGCAAATGGAAGAGTAATGACGTTTGCCACAGTAACTGCACGCAATCTTACTTGGACATTCCGACGCAAGATTTTGTATGGTAGTTTTCTTCACGTTCAGAATTGTTTGTTACAGGATTCTTCTTCCCACTGATTTACAGCATCAGTTAATTTTATAAAATCCCAAGATTACCATAAAGGGTCATTGCGAGCCAAATCACCTCGAATTTCCGCTAATTTGTCGAGAGTCATAGATACGTTTCCGCTAATATTCCGTAATTTACCCATCGTCTCGAGTGCTTGCACTGAATGCGTCAATTCATCACAGAAGTTTGCTATTTTGCGCGGGTTAGTCCTCTGAATGGTAAATTGGTAATTCTAAAATTTCTTTCACAAAACGTTTGTCTATTTCAGATTCTTTGCCATGTTTATCGTTTATAGCCCTCGGGGGTGAAAGGGAGGGACTCGACTCGTTGCCTAACATTTGGTTCAAGGAGCTCTAGCAGATAAGTGAACTTTGTTATGGGCGTTAAGGACCTTTTATCGATTGCTTCGGAAAATTGTCCCCAGAATTTTGGCCAGTCAGTGAAGGAGCCAGCGAATTTTGCTATAACTAATTTTGGCAATTTAGCACTCGTTAAAGAAAAGGTTCTACATTTCTTAACTTCCGTTCTGGGTTTAGATACTGTAGTAAGTTCAGCTTGCATTTTTAGTCTTGTTTCATGCAGCAATGTTTCGCGTTTTAACTCTTCTTCGTGTGAAACAAGCTTTTCTGCTCGTGTTGCTTCTGCGAGGAATTTTTCGAATTGTTAAATAGCCGCGTCAGCATTGTCAAATTTAATGTCAAACACACAGGGGTGGCGCCAGGAGTTCCCCGATGGAGGGGCTAAGGTTCCGGACGGGGGGCTGAATAGTAGGCTGATGTAACAATGCGCTTTCCATACAAATCTTTTTTACAGACAAAATTTTCAAAAATTATTATCAATCCTCGCTTTGACTAAATCGTTGAAACATATAGTTTACTTTGGAAATAATAATTTACATCTACATGAAAAATTAACTCTACGTATTTGACTAGTTGTAAGAGCCGCAACTAGAACGCTAATTTGGGGGGGGGGGGGTTATGTATTCGGTTGTTCCCAAATGATTTTTTTAAAAGAAAGTTAATTTTAAAAGAAGTTAGTCTGACACAACTGAATATATGAATATCCCACCAATCACCGTTGTACTAACAGCCTGCTAGTCGTGCATGCAATCCAGGGATATACATATGATTGGCTATAACAAACCTATACAGTAAGTAAAAGAATGCCCTGGGCTTTCTAGTTATGTTGGATAGTAATAATCCAATAATAATTATCTCCATCAAAGCTTTATAAACATGTTGAACATCTTCTTTAACTTATACAAAGCTGTAATCAAAGTAAGACGAGGATCCATTAGTTATTAGATATATTTTTTTTATTGTTCAACTTAAATCTTATGTTTTGTCACTTTATCTCAATGCTACCCTGTTAAACTTTTTTGCTGGTGAGCAGTTGTTTCTCACTGCATGTATATAATGAATCATTGGTGTACTAGGAAATAATTTATAAACATAAGAGGCAATATTAATAATGCACGAGTAAGCTATAACTTCGCTGAATCCTTCGATATGATTGTTTGATTGTTCAAAGAACAATTCTTCACTTGGAAAACCTAGCGTTGAGCTTGTTCACTTCGGTAACCAAATCCAGTTTGCTCCACCGATCACAATGAATTCTAAACATCATTAGCTGTCCAGACTCTTGATGGCGATTTATCAAAGACAACAGCCGCAATACATGTAAAACTGGCAGCATCTGATGCTCATTGCTGATTTGAAACTCAAACAGCAGAGCTTTTTAGTTTTTTTTTTAAAAAAAACTGCCTTTCAAAATTCGAAAGTCGAGTTGCAAAAAATAACCGACAGAGGACTAATAGCGGGCAAGCGTCGTGGCGATTGCATATGCAAATATATCTCATGTTGCATTTGCATATCTGTTCTCTAATGAACATTCAGAAATAAGTATTTCAGAGTAACTTTATTATTTGACTTCGGATAGCTGGCGTGTGTAAAGATTATTGCTGATGCTGAGTGCTCACATAAATTTAAACGATCGGCAATAATCGGCATTGGAAATTACATTTTTTGTTATTCATTCCCCGACAAATCGTCAAATTTTCCCCGACGGGGGCTTGGATTTCCCGAAATTTTGAATTTCAATTTATTTTCCATCATTACCATTTTAAATTTGTTTTACAGCTTTGACATTGTGGACAAACGACCGTGCTCCATGCGAAGATTTAAAAGAGCACATTAACAGTCTTTTAAATGAAATAACTAAGGTAATAAAATTCAAAAATGAAGCTTGCAAAAAAGTATTGCGAGAGACGCTTAACACGTTTTCACATTTCATGAAAAAAATTTTGCAGATTAAAAGACGTGTAGATGAAGTTGAAGATAAACAAAAAGAAACAATCGAAAAAGCTGATGAACTTGAAGATGAACAAAAAGTAACAAACGAAAAAGTTGATGAAGTTCAAGATAAACAAAAACAAACAAACGAAAAAGTTGATGAAAATGAAAAAAAACGAAACGAAGCAAACGACATATTTCAGCATTATTTACACTCAACGATTGAAAACCTACAACTAATGACAAAACTTCAAAGTTTCGCTGCAACAAACCAGGCTCAAGATAAACAAAATGACATACAATACAAATTAAAGGGAATTCAAGAACGATGTAAGCAACTTCAATGGTCGGCTGCAATAAACCAGCCTCACCCAAGCACAGAACATGGTATGAAGCTTTCTCTAAATACAACAAATGAAATGTTGTTAAAGTTTTTTTAGTGCGGATAAATTTTAGCTCAATGCATTGCATTACTTTAATTATTATATGATCGAGTCCTTTCCGAAAAAAAAACAAGAAATGGGGTGTAATAAAAGAGCGGAAGTAGAAAAAAAAGTGAATTACATCTTATGTAGAGGACATAATCTTATAGAGATCAGTGATGATAAAGTAGTGGTAGGTAAAAATGTAGTCAGACAGCACAGAATGATTTGTGGTGTGCGGGATAGATATAGTTATAGTTATAGTTATAGTTATAGTTATAGTTATAGTTACAGCTATAATTGTAGTTATAGTTATATAGTTATAGTTATATAGTTATAGTTATAGTTATAGCTATAGTTATAGTTATAGTTATAGTTATAGTTATAGTTATAGTTTTAGTTATAGTTATATAGTTATAGTTATATAGTTATAGTTATAGTTATAGTTATAGTTATAGTTATAGTTATAGTTTTATAGTTATAGTTATAGTTATAGTTATAGTTATAGTTATATAGTTATAGTTATATAGTTATAGTTATATAGTTATATAGTTATATAGTTATAGTTATAGTTATAGTTATAGTTATAGTTATAGTTATAGTTATATAGTTATAGTTATAGTTATAGTTATAGTTATATAGTTATAGTTATAGTTATAGTTATAGTTATAGTTATAGTTATAGTTATAGTTATATAGTTATAGTTATAGTTATAGTTTTATAGTTATAGTTATAGTTATAGTTATAGTTATATAGTTATAGTTATATAGTTATAGTTATATAGTTGTATAGTTATAGTTATAGTTATAGTTATAGTTATAGTTATAGTTATATAGTTATATAGTTATAGTTATATAGTTATAGTTATAGTTATAGTTATAGTTATAGTTATATAGTTATAGTTATATAGTTATAGTTATATTTATATAGTTATAGTTATATAGTTATAGTTATATAGTTATAGTTATAGTTATAGTTATAGTTATAGTTATAGTTATAGTTTTATAGTTATAGTTATAGTTATAGTTATAGTTATAGTTATATAGTTATAGTTATATAGTTATATTTATATAGTTATATAGTTGTATAGTTATAGTTATAGTTATAGTTATAGTTATAGTTATAGTTATAGTTATAGTTATAGTTATATAGTTATATAGTTATAGTTATAGTTATAGTTATAGTTATAGTTATAGTTCTATAGTTATAGTTATAGTTATAGTTATAGTTATAGTTATAGTTATAGTTATATAGTTATAGTTATAGTTATAGTTATAGTTATAGTTATAGTTATAGTTATATAGTTATAGTTATAGTTATAGTTATAGTTATAGTTATATAGTTATAGTTATAGTTATAGTTATAGTTATAGTTATAGTTATATAGTTATATAGTTATAGTTATATAGTTATAGTTATAGTTATAGTTTTATAGTTATAGTTATAGTTATAGTTATAGTTATATAGTTATAGTTATATAGTTATAGTTATATAGTTGTATAGTTATAGTTATAGTTATAGTTATAGTTATAGTTATAGTTATATAGTTATATAGTTATAGTTATATAGTTATAGTTATAGTTATAGTTATAGTTATAGTTTATAGTTATAGTTATAGTTATAGTTATAGTTATAGTTATATAGTTATAGTATATAGTTATAGTTATATAGTTGTATAGTTATAGTTATAGTTATAGTTATAGTTATAGTTATAGTTATATAGTTATAGTTATATAGTTATAGTTATATAGTTATAGTTATAGTTATAGTTATATAGTTATAGTTATAGTTATAGTTATATAGTTATAGTTATAGTTATAGTTATAGTTATAGTTATAGTTATAGTTATAGTTATAGTTATAGTTATAGTTATAGTTATAGCTATGATTATAGTTATAGTTATATAGTTATAGTTATATAGTTATAGTTATAGTTATAGTTATAGTTATATAGTTATATAGTTATATAGTTATAGTTATATAGTTATAGTTATAGTTATAGTTATATAGTTATAGTTATAGTTATAGTTATATAGTTATAGTTATAGTTATAGTTATAGTTATAGTTATATAGTTATAGTTATATAGTTATAGTTATAGTTATATAGTTATAGTTATATAGTTATAGTTATATAGTTATATAGTTATAGTTATAGTTATATTTATAGTTATAGTTATATAGTTATAGTTATATAGTTATAGTTATAGTTATAGTTATATAGTTATAGTTATAGTTATAGTTATAGTTATAGTTATAGTTATATAGTTATAGTTATATAGTTATAGTTATATAGTTGTATAGTTATAGTTATAGTTATAGTTATAGTTATAGTTATAGTTATAGTTATAGTTATAGTTATAGTTATGATTATAGTTATAGTTATATAGTTATAGTTATATAGTTATAGTTATGGTTATAGTTATAGTTATATAGTTATATGGTTATAGTTATATAGTTATAGTTATAGTTATAGTTATAGTTATAGTTATAGTTATATAGTTATGGTTATATAGTTATAGTTATAGTTATATAGTTATAGTTATATAGTTATAGTTATATAGTTATAGTTATAGTTATAGTTATAGTTATAGTTATAGTTATAGTTATAGTTTATGGTTATAGTTATAGTTATAGTTATAGTTATAGTTATGGTTATAGTTATATGGTTATAGTTATATAGTTGTATAGTTATAGTTATAGTTATGGTTATAGTTATAGTTATAGTTATAGTTATATAGTTATATAGTTATAGTTATATAGTTATAGTTATAGTTATAGTTATAGTTATAGTTATAGTTATAGTTATGGTTATAGTTATAGTTATAGTTATAGTTATAGTTTATATAGTTATAGTTATAGTTATAGTTATAGTTATAGTTATATAGTTATAGTTATATAGTTATAGTTATGTTATGGTTGTATAGTTATAGTTATAGTTATAGTTATAGTTATAGTTATAGTTTTATAGTTATAGTTATAGTTATAGTTATAGTTATAGTTATATGGTTATGGTTATATAGTTATAGTTATATAGTTATATAGTTATAGTTATAGTTATAGTTATAGTTATAGTTATAGTTATAGTTATATGGTTATAGTTATATAGTTATAGTTATATAGTTATATAGTTATTAGTTATAGTTATAGTTATAGTTATAGTTATAGTTATAGTTATAGTTATATAGTTATAGTTATAGTTATAGTTATAGTTATAGTTATAGTTATAGTTATATAGTTATAGTTATAGTTATAGTTATAGTTATAGTTATAGTTATATTTATAGTTATAGTTATAGTTATAGTTATAGTTATAGTTATAGTTATAGTTATAGTTATATAGTTATAGTTATAGTTATATAGTTATAGTTATAGTTATAGTTATAGTTATAGTTATAGTTATAGTTATAGTTATAGTTATAGTTATAGTTATAGTTATAGTTATATAGTTATAGTTATATAGTTGTATAGTTATAGTTATAGTTATAGTTATAGTTATAGTTATAGTTTTATAGTTATAGTTATAGTTATAGTTATAGTTATAGTTATATAGTTATAGTTATATAGTTATAGTTATATAGTTGTATAGTTATAGTTATAGTTATAGTTATAGTTATAGTTATAGTTATATAGTTATATAGTTATAGTTATATAGTTATAGTTATAGTTATAGTTTTATAATATAGTTATAGTTATAGTTATAGTTATATAGTTATAGTTATATATAGTTATAGTTATATAGTTGTATAGTTATAGTTATAGTTATAGTTATAGTTATAGTTATATAGTTATATAGTTATAGTTATATAGTTATAGTTATAGTTATAGTTATAGTTATAGTTTTATAGTTAAGTTATAGTTATAGTTATAGTTATAGTTATATAGTTATAGTTATATAGTTATAGTTATATAGTTATGTTATAGTTATAGTTATAGTTATAGTTATAGTTATAGTTATAGTTATATAATTATATAGTTATATAGTTATAGTTATATAGTTATAGTTATAGTTATAGTTATAGTTATAGTTTTATAGTTAAGTTATAGTTATAGTTATAGTTATAGTTATATAGTTATAGTTATATAGTTATAGTTATATAGTTGTATAGTTATAGTTATAGTTATAGTTATAGTTATAGTTATAGTTCTATAATTATAGTTATATAGTTATAGTTATATAGTTATAGTTATAGTTATAGTTATAGTTATAGTTATAGTTATATAGTTATAGTTATATAGTTATAGTTATAGTTATATAGTTATAGTTATATAGTTATAGTTATATAGTTATAGTTATAGTTATAGTTATAGTTATAGTTATAGTTTTATAGTTATAGTTATAGTTATAGTTATAGTTATAGTTATATAGTTATAGTTATATAGTTATAGTTATAGTTGTATAGTTATAGTTATAGTTATAGTTATATAGTTATGAGTTTATAGTTATAGTTATAGTTATAGTTATGGTTATATAGTTATAGTTATAGTTATAGTTATAGTTATAGTTATTATAGTTATAGTTATAGTTATAGTTATAGTTATATGGTTATGAATTATAGTTATATAGTTATAGTTATAGTTATAGTTATAGTTATAGTTATAGTTATAGTTATATAGTTATAGTTATAGTTATAGTTATAGTTATAGTTATATAGTTATAGTTATAGTTATAGTTATAGTTATAGTTATAGTTATATAGTTATATAGTTATAGTTATATAGTTATAGTTATGGTTATAGTTTTATAGTTATAGTTATAGTTATAGTTATAGTTATAGTTATAAGTTATAGTTATATAGTTATGGTTATTATAGTTATATAGTTATAGTTATATAGTTATAGTTATAGTTATAGTTATAGTTATAGTTTTTATAGTTATAGTTATAGTTATAGTTATAGTTATAGTTATATAGTTATAGTTATATAGTTATAGGTTATATGGTTGTATAGTTATAGTTATAGTTATGATTATAGTTATAGTTATAGTTCTATAGTTTATAGTTATATAGTTTATGAATATGGTTATAGTTATAATTATAGTTATAGTTATAGTTATAGTTATAGTTATAGTTATATAGTTATAGTTATATAGTTATAGTTATATAGTTATAGTTATAGTTATAGTTATAGTTATAGTTATGATTATAGTTATAGTTATATAGTTATAGTTATATAGTTATAGTTATAGTTATAGTTATAGTTATATAGTTATATAGTTATATAGTTATAGTTATATAGTTAGAGTTATAGTTATAGTTATATAGTTATAGTTATAAGTTATAGTTATATAGTTATAGTTATAGTTATAGTTATAGTTATGGTTATAGTTATAGTTATATAGTTATAGTTATAGTTATATAGTTATAGTTATATAGTTATAGTTATATAGTTATATAGTTATAGTTATAGTTATATTTATAGTTATAGTTATATAATTATATAGTTATATAGTTATAGTTATAGTTATAGTTATATAGTTATAGTTATAGTTATAGTTATAGTTATAGTTATAGTTATATAGTTATAGTTATATAGTTATAGTTATATAGTTATAGTTATAGTTATAGTTATAGTTATAGTTATAGTTATAGTTATAGTTATAGTTATAGTTATAGCTATGATTATAGTTATAGTTATATAGTTATAGTTATATAGTTATAGTTATGGTTATAGTTATAGTTATATAGTTATATAGTTATAGTTATATAGTTATAGTTATATAGTTATAGTTATAGTTATAGTTATAGTTATATAGTTATAGTTATAGTTATAGTTATAGTTATAGTTATAGTTATAGTTATATAGTTATAGTTATAGTTATAGTTATAGTTATAGTTATATAGTTAGTTATAGTTATAGTTATAGTTATAGTTATAGTTATATAGATATGGTTATAGTTATATTGTTATAGTTATAGTTATAGTTATAGTTATAGTTATATGGTTATAGTTATAGTTATAGTTATATAGTTATAGTTATAGTTATAGTTATAGTTATAGTTATAGTTTATATTATAGTTATATAGTTATGGTTATTAGTAATATATAGTTATAGTTATAGTTAGATTTATAGTTATAGTTATAGTTATAGTTATAGTTATAGTTATGGTTATGATTATAGTTATAGTTATATAGTTATGGTTATATAGTTATAGTTATGGTTATAGTTATAGTTATATAGTTATATAGTTATAGTTATATAGTTATAGTTATAGTTATAGTTATAGTTATATTTATAGTTATAGTTCTATAGTTATAGTTATATAGTTATAGTTATAGTTATAGTTATAGTTTTATAGTTATAGTTATAGTTATAGTTATAGTTATAGTTATATAGTTATAGTTATAGTTATAGTTATAGTTATAGTTATAGTTATATAGTTATGTAGTTATAGTTATAGTTATAGTTATAGTTATAGTTTTATAGTTATAGTTATAGTTATAGTTATAGTTATGGTTATATAGTTATAGTTATATAGTTATAGTTATATAGTTGTATAGTTATAGTTATAGTTATAGTTATAGTTATAGTTATAGTTATATAGTTATATAGTTATAGTTATATAGTTATAGTTATAGTTATAGTTATAGTTATAGTTTTATAGTTATAGTTATAGTTATAGTTATAGTTATAGTTATATAGTTATAGTTATAGTTATAGTTATATAGTTGTATAGTTATAAGTTATAGTTATAATTTATAGTTATAGTTATAATTCTATAGTTATGGTTATATAGTTATAGTTATATAGTTATAGTTATAGTTATAGTTATAGTTATAGTTATAGTTATAGTTATAGTTATATAGTTATAGTTATATAGTTATAGTTATAGTTATATAGTTATAGTTATATAGTTATAGTTATATAGTTATAGTTTATAGTTATAGTTATAGTTATGGTTATAGTTATAGTTATAGCTATGATTATAGTTATAGTTATATAGTTATAGTTAACTTATAGTTATAGTTATAGTTATAGTTATAGTTATATAGTTATATAGTTATATAGTTATAGTTATATGTGGTTATAGTTATAGTTATAGTTATATAGTTATAGTTATAGTTATAGTTATATGGTTATGGTTATAGTTATAGTTATAGTTATAGTTATATAGTTATAGTTATATAGTTATAGTTATAGTTATATAGTTATGGTTATATAGTTATAGTTATATAGTTATATAGTTATAGTTATAGTTATATTTATAGTTATATAGTTATAGTTATATAGTTATAGTTATAGTTATAGTTATATAGTTATAGTTATAGTTATAGTTATAGTTATAGTTATATAGTTATAGTTATATAGTTATAGTTATATAGTAATAGTTATAGTTATAGTTATAGTTATAGTTATAGTTATAGTTATAGTTATAGTTATAGTTATAGCTATGATTATAGTTATAGTTATATAGTTATGGTTATATAGTTATAGTTATGGTTTGTAGTTATAGTTATATAGTTATATAGTTATAGTTATATGGTTATAGTTGGTTATAGTTATGGTTATATTTATGGTTATGGTTCTATGGTTATAGTTATATGGTTATAGTTATAGTTATGGTTTGTAGTTATGGTTATGGTTATAGTTATAGTTATAGTTATATAGTTATAGTTATATAGTTATAGTTATAGTTGTATAGTTATAGTTATAGTTATAGTTATAGTTGGTTATAGTTATAGTTATAGTTATGGTTATAGTTATAGTTATAGTTATAGTTTATGGTTATAGTTATAGTTATAGTTATAGTTATGGTTAATATAGTTATGGTTATAGTTATGGTTATATAGTTGTATGGTTATAGTTATGGTTATAGTTATAGTTATGAGTTATAGTTATAGTTATATAGTTATAGTTATATAGTTATAGTTATGGTTATATAGTTATAGTTATATAGTTATAGTTATAGTTATATAGTTATAGTTATATAGTTATAGTTATATAGTTATAGTTATAGTTATAGTTATAGTTATAGTTATAGTTTTATGGTTATAGTTATAGTTATAGTTATATAGTTATAGTTATATATAGTTATAGTTATATAGTTGTAGTTATAGTTATAGTTATAGTTATAGTTATAGTTATAGTTATAGTTATAGTTATATAGTTATATAGTTATAGTTATAGTTATAGTTATAGTTATAGTTATAGTTCTATAGTTATAGTTATAGTTATAGTTATAGTTATAGTTATAGTTATAGTCATAGCTATAGTTACAGTTATAGTTATACATTTATAATGGTGACGAAGATGTAGATGACAAAAGTAGTACTGACAATACAATGGTGGAATTTAAAAAAGGAAGAGAGCTGTGTGTTGCTAGTTAAGCAGAGTTGAGACAGACACTAGAAGGTCAAGATAAGCTTCTCATTGAAAGAAAAGTAGATAAAGAGACTTAATGATGGAATAAAGAAGTGCCTGCTTGTAATACTTTGCAACACTTTGCGCTTTAAGACAAGAGATGACTTGTCAATTTCGAATGTGATCTACTATACCCGTCAATGGGTTTTCACGGTTCGAATGCATGCAGACCTCTCAAGTCTCACGATTTTGTCGTGAGACTCACGGTTTTCAGTTCAATCTCACGGTCTCACGACAAGACAGAAAAATCTCACGATAAATAGTGGCGCAAGCTGACAGAACAAATTTTTGTTGTATTATTTCATTTTGGCGTTTCTTGCGCCAATTCTGTGCTATTCCGTAGTTAAATTAACAAATAGTTACCCAGCTTATTCAGTTCATGACGGACTATCGACTATGGCCATATATAGAGTACTTGTTCCAAATTAGGTCATCATTACCATTCATTTTATCACGTTTCTAAAATGGAGGAAGTTGCGGAGGAGAGATTGTTTAGTATCGTGAGGAAAAAGAAGACCGAGAGCAGAGCGTCAATGAGGCTGGAGGTTACACTGTCAAGTTTGTTGGCCACGAAGCTGCAGTATCCAGAGCAGACTGTACCGTGCCACAAGTGGAGTCCTACAAAAGAACTGTTGGATAGTTCCAAAAAGGCAGCTACTGCATATAATGCTGAGCATTGAAGCTGTCAAAACAAATTTTATTTCTGTGTTGTTAAGGTCCACGCATGTTTTAAGTAAATTATAAGCAGGAAAAAAGACTTTCTCTGAATCAGAACCTGTGTTTACTTGGTTTTGTCTACCGGTAGATCAATCTCCAGATTTTTACTGAAATCTCCCGATTTTTTTGCATCAGTCTCCAGATTTTATGTGTTTTGAGGTTGAGAGGTCTGTGCATGGTACAAAAGAATATAAAAAAATCCTTAATGTTTCTTGCAAAATCGTTTATTAGGCGATTAATTTTACCAAGAAAAATATTTTAAAACCAAAAATCCTCAAAGGTCAGAAAATCCCCATAATTATTATCTAGCTACAAATTCAATTCGAGATGTCGGGATGGTTAAATTCGCGAAATTAGAAACTTTTAAAGGCTGATTACGAACATGCGCTGTACGTAGTTTATGTACAATCCTAGCAAGGTGACATTTACCTTGCCGTGCATTGTGAGAGCATAAGTCATTCTTCTGTATTTGATTATTTTCAATTCAGCCCCTGAATGTAAAAGCTTCATGTCGTTTTCAGAATTGCAGTTGCAACAGTGGAAATACTCGGGTGAATCAACAAAACATAGAAACCTTTTGTTAAAATTATGTGATCACAAAGACGAGATTAAACTTTTGGGCAATGTGCGAGTAATTTTCTCAAATGAGTTCTGCATCGGCGAAGGAAGTAATGGCACCCGTGTTTATCTTGGACTGAGAAAAGATGGTTACGGTAAGGCAGTGAAACGAATAATTCGAGATAACTGGATCAGATATGCACAGCAAGAAAAGAAAATTTTCAACCAATTCGAAAAAAGGAAGTCAAAATATGTCGTAAATTATTCCTACCTTGAAGACGATACAGGAACGGACTTTGTTTATTTAATATTAGACTTATGCGAAGAATCATTGGAGAGTTTTGTCAAGTCTTCTACTTTGAATGATCTTCAAATAGTTCTCCCTAAGATTCTCAAACAAATTTTACAAGGATTAGCTGATCTTCATAGCGGCCCACGTCCTATACTTCATAGGGATTTGAAGCCTTCCAATATTCTCCGTGACCTAAACAGCGATTTTATGTTAGCTGACTTTGGCATTAGTCGAATATTGGAAGATGGCGCCAAAACATTTACAAGCCTTGCCAACGTGGGAACTGAGAACTGGATTGCTCCTGAATCATATGATGAAGACGAAGAGTCAATTGATAAAGGACGCTACACAAAAGAGTCTGATGTATATGTAGGTGTAGAAATGATACCATTTTGAAATTATATACAAATTCACTTTTGTGAGATATTGTTCTCTATCATTTTAGAATGCGGGGATGGTGGCTTATTATGTTGCAACAAAAGGGAAACATCCTTTTGGAACTAGAGAGCTTAGATTGCACAATATGCTGAATGGAAAGCCTGTTGGCTTGATGGAAATCAAAGATGAAGCACTGAAAGATCTTCTGTCGTGGATGTTAAATCGACAACCAGAAGACAGGCCATCAGCCAATGAGGCATTAAAACACCCATTTCTTATGTCAGACGACGAGAAATTTGACTTATTATGTAAAGTTGGAAACCTAGAGCCGATTGACGGAAACGATCCCAACTCAATTGCCGTTCAACAATTGAACAGCGAATCCTCAGATTGGAGAAGTCAAATGGATGGTGATGTGTACGATTATTTTAGAACGAACGTGAAGAATGGAAAGATGCTTAATTATGGATCTTCTTGGACAAAATGCTTAAGACTTATTCGAAATGTTGGCCATCATTGGTACGAACTAACACGGTCAAGACCACAACCAGAACCATTTTATAAGATTGGCGATCACAAGAACTACTTTCTCAAAACATTCCCCAATCTCCCTGTTTGGGTGCACGCAGCTGTCAGGTCAGATGATGAATTGAAAAACAATAAAGAACTCAATGACATTTTCAACTTGAATCCTTCATAAATGTAAAGTGAAAAAACTTTTTACAACCAACTTGGATAATACGTAACCCCATTAACTGCTATAACGTAATTAATTAATTTCACCTACGATGACAGTGAGATTTTACAATCCAAAGTAAAGGATGAAAAATCACGTGGTCAGTATTGATGTACAAAATTGTTAACTGGCTCAAATATTCTTACTTTCGTGAATAAAGGAAAATGTGAAATCTTAAATTTAATAAATTTGATGGTCTTAGGCTGTATCGTTATGATTTGAAAAGATTGGTTGGAGTTTGTTTTCTTAACGAAAAACCGATATGAATAAAATCTTGTTTTCAAACATTCTTTTCAATGTGGAATCAAAACATCGATCGTTTTGAAACACAGAGTATCCAAGAAAAATTTATTAAATGATTGTCTGAACATATCTTTCAATAGTTTAGCAACCATTATAACTGAGATTGTTCATATAGCCAACTCAATGATTCAGGGAGCATACTCATAAAATTAAAGGTTTTCTGCTGGTTAAATGCGCAAATGTTAGCGGATATTGAATTGTATAGATTATTAGATATGTGCCCCCCGTTGAAAAGATATCTTCCTAAACTGTTGATCACTACCGTCAAGGATGACACCTGTCGTTGACACTTTTTTTTCTATTTTTTCCGCTTTTTAATTTAAGAATTTATGGTAATGCTTAGAAAATTGTTTTTAGATGATTCTTAAGAGTTGAGACCAAGTTTATTATTTGTGTTTCTATTTCAGAAAAACATAATGAAAAAAGTACCTTTTATACACTTTTTAACAATTTATAGCAATGTTTCGAAAATCGTTTTGAGACAATTATTGATGTTATTGATGTTAATGAGTCATTTCGTTCAGAGAACCCGTGGACATTAAGTCAAAAAAATAATCTTATTCAAATCAAATATCACCCACTACGACTTAACCCACCCGTCGTATTGAAAAAAGTCATCTTAACGACAATCTTCAACATGAAATTAATCAGTGAACATTGCTATAAATGTAATTATTTACTTGTTGATATAATCCTAGATATTTGTAGTATAAATAAACAATACTATAAGAACCATGTTTATATGAAAGGTGAGACAGAACTTGACGAGTCTTTGTCACTTACCAAACAACAGTTGGGATCCTACCAAAGACGAAATGTTTTTCGACACGTAAATCATTCTTCATTTCCGACAAAAAAATATGAAATGCTGATATTACATCACAGAGCTGTCTTTAAACAGAAAATTATCAAAGATTGCTACCCTACCCCTACAAAAATAAAACATTTCGTTTAAACAAGCCTCAGGTTTCGTCTCTCCATTAATAAACTGACCTTAATTTGGAAATTGTAGATGTCAATAAAGATATAAAATGTTCTTCTAAGACAAAGTAATCCAAACATTAACTGGTCATAAATTACATTATTTTTTATGATGTTTGCATAAAGTTCAGCTAAATGACTGGAACTTTTTATAGCAACAAGTGTTTAGCCATGTAATAATCTTTTAGCATTTTGTAGACAATTTATTTAGTGGATTAAGAAGGATATCAAATAAAGTATCAACCTCAAATCTACTGGAAATAATGTTTTCTTTTTTATTTTGTATTTATCAAATAAATATATTTTCAACATAAGCACCTCAAGATTTGCAATGTTCCTAGAAATTGCTTTAGTAGTAAAAATTGCTACTTAAAGTGCATAACATGAATAATATTGCAAGTCATCGTACATTTTTAGTTCGACAATATTTAGGTCCAGTGGCGGATCTATGGATGGTCAGGATACATTACAATCTATTTCCATTTTAAAATACTCTGGAGCGAATCCTATTGGGATTATTTTAGTCTTAAATATTCTTTATAAACTTTTAATGTTGTTAAAAAAGTCTTTTGAATTTAAAATGAGCTTCTATAATTTATTTTGAACTACTCTCGATGCGACACGGTCTAGGTCTTAATCAATTTAATCTCTACTAAACCTAGTTCCATGCTTCCAAAGTATTAGCATGCATTTATCAGGGACCGAGGGGACTGTGCAGTTATATCCCCCCCCCCCCAAACAATTTTGCTTCCATTTTGAATTTTGTAAACACATCCCTTACTAGCAAACAACTTTCTAGATATCAGTGGTCAATAACCATACCACCTCCATTAAAGAATAGTCTCCACAGTCGCTCTTTATTCGTTATATCATTTGTATTTTATATAATTTGACGTTAAAATTCTGTTTTAAGAGCAACAAGTTTTTAAACCCTTGTCTTCAATGTATTTTTACCATGAAGAATTAAGCGATCAAACTAAACTATAAACGAACTAAAACAGCCATAACCTTAAAGTTTCGGCTTAGCTGGAATCTTCTCCAATTTTTCATACAAACGATCAATTTCATCATTAAATCTTTTCGCTAACGTAAATCGTTTGGATTTAAGTGTTGGAGTTAGTAATCTATTATCTGGAGTGAATGGTTGCGAATGAAGATGAATTCCTTTGACCTGAAATAATGACAGAAAGAAGTTGAGGTGAAATAAAACTACAGAAGAAAATTATCGAGTAAAAACCTGCTCAAACGACGCCAACTTTGCTTCCTTTCCTCTGGAGATGATGTCATTCAGAATCATGTCATTGACGGCCTGAAGTTTGAAGTAATAGAAAGTACAAGCGTTTGAATGCAATGAAAAACATGTGAAATTTCTATGTTAATGTAGTACCGTATCCTGACATAATTCCTCAAAACATTTGTTTATGTTATTGTCTTTGGCCCATTTTGTAAGAATTTCTTCATCAGGAACAATGATTCCAACAAGAAATGACTAAATATTGGAAAGATTACATTATGCTAGATTGCAAACAAGAAATCATAAATTCATTTTTATTTTTATCAAAAAAATCAAAGCCAAACATTTTAAGCGAATAAATATTCCAAACAAATTCGAGTACATTTTCATCAATTTTTACTGAACAAACGCGTTTCCTGACTGGCAAATCAAGAGCAATTTTTTATTTCAAATCTCAAACCATAAGAAAGTTAGTGAATTGAGACGAATTTTGATCTCAGCAGTAAGCAAAAGATATCGTAATTTTTTATTGCAAATCCAAATCTCGAAAATTAAGAATCAAATCCCAAGTTCACAGCCATGCAGAACAACTCGCCCCAGTACCTTAAGACTAGAACCGTGTACAAAAGCTTGAGCGACGAAAGGACATTTGATGTAAACATTTTCAATTTTATCAGGAGAAATATATTCGCCCTAAAAGACACAATCACAAATAAGATAAATAAAAAAAACAAAATATATAATGGTTGCTATCATTTATGTTTTATAAACCTGCGACAACTTGAAAATACATTTTTCGACCAATTATTTTAAGCGTTCCATTCTATAAAACAAAAACAGAAACATTATGAGCACCTCACCACATACTTAATCATTAAGTAAAAGATAATGTACACTATTTTTGCATGAAAGTACGATAATACAAAAAAAATTGTTCATGATGACAAAATATTTTTCCTATCGTTTCCTTCTTAGAGAAATAAAATTAATATTAATTTATTGTAATAAATTATAATAAATTTCTTTCAAAGGAACTTGCTTCGTTTTTGGTGTAAAAATTCTTGAAGTCAAATGTCTGTTTTTTAGTTATCAACTTCCCGAATTCTCTTACAGATAGTGTCTTAGCAAAAATTAACAACAAGTTAACGTCATTTTTCCCACATTAATTTCGATAACAACAAAAAAACATTATTTTACATCCTTTGCTACTATGTAACTTCAACTGACCTGTTTCCATTCTCCTACATCACCTGTATGCAACCAACCATCATCATCTAACATTTCAGATGTTTTGTCAGGATTTTTAAGATATCCCTTGAAGACATTTGGACCATAGACACATATCTTAAAAACAAAAATCATTCTTTCAATGCACAATCGTAACATAACATTAGCAAAGTAGAAAATAAAAACAAGATTCGTTACTTCGCCTTGATTGTTTGAAGTAAAATAGTTCATTTCTGGTACATCAACAAGTTTCACATAGTTACAGGCACTAGGTGATCCAACGTGACCTATAGGTACATACATGGATAAAATATAGTCACCTGTTGGTATAGACATGTATAAGATAGGGTCACTTATAAGTATACAGATGGATAAAATATGTTGAAAAATTCCTAGTGAGTTATTCACTCTATATTGTGTAAAATACTTAGGAAAACATTGTACCATTATTAATTAGAAATGATTACAAAACCTGGACATGACTACAATAATAGCGCTATCAACTGCAGGGCCTGGTACCTACGTAGATAATATGAATGGGGTTTATAGGTAATTGTGACAATCTAACAATAGAGATGAACATTAAGTGTTCGCTTTTAGCTCATTTTCTAGGATATTATAGTTCATTGTACATAAATAAAAGATGACAAAACACTTCAAATCAACTATTCAGACCCAGGCCCCAGGCAACCTTACTTAGGTCTTAATGTCTTAATATTGACTTTCTCAACGTTTACAATATTACATTTTAAATGAAGTACCACAGAAGTGTTCATACGGAAATACGTAGTACCTGGTGAAAGATCAAGTTTATTTGTCAGAGAAACAAGTGCTGTAGACTCAGTCTGACCATAACCTTCAAAAATCTTAATACAAAAAGAAACAAGATGTAACCATGGTAACACAGTTGAAACGTGATGTCATAAATAAATACGAACCAAACATCCAAGAACGACTCTTAAAAACTCTAAAACTTTACCATCAATAGGAGCAGCACCTGTGAGAATGACATTTACATTTCCACCTAAAATTGCCTGTAAAGAACAAAGTTGTCAGTTAGTTTCAATACCAGTCCCCCGAAAGAATGACGGCGAGTGCCCAGTGCAGCGAAATGTAATTTACAATTCATTAGCCAGGTGAGAGTAAAACAATTAGCGGGAAATATAAGGAAAATCACTGATCTCAATATCCTTGAAACATGATAAAAGCTTTTTTAATGAAACGAATGAAGTGTTTTACGAGTATAAAATGTTGACGTAACGGGGCCTCACCGGTGACGTAACGGGCTCTTACCTGTGACGAAGCAAGCCCCACCAGTGAAGTAAACGGCCTTAACTGGTGACGTAAGGTAGTCACCAGTGACGTAACAGCCTGTCCGTTTCGTACCTGAATTTTGTGAAAAACTATTTTGTCCCACAAAGTATTTTTGGAGATTTGACCTCTACAGTGAAAATAAATATATTTAGATTTTCATAATGGA